CATCATCTTGCAGCTTTGCATGTGATCGACAGTCAACCCATACCTGAGAAACATACTTAGAAGTGTGCTCTGTTCATTGGAAGATCATCGGGCTTGCTTTCCCCCGCCCAAAAATGCCAGCTCGACCGACGCGCTTTTGAAGTCAAAACGTTCAAGGTGGAAGGTAGGAGGAGGCTCCTATTTTAAATGCAACCATTGCTCAGATCCCAAGCCCAATCCTGGCCTCAGAACTGTCACAAGAAACACCTCAATGGTCACTCGTTGATGAGCAGATTTCTAAGATTGGCGCGAAACCCCCGCTTTTAGCGTGCCGTAGCTTGATCCCTGAATGCCAATAATGCCCGCAATGTTTCGATGGGTCTTGGTTCGTCACTGCGGGAGTCGTTCCCACAACCATCTTGAAGCCAGCAGATGTATTCAACGGTTAGCTTGTAGGAACAGCATCACTGCCTTCTAATGACCATTGTAGGTTGAGCTTATGGCTCAGTGAACGTTGCAGAAGATGGAGATTCTCCAGAAGCTTCCAAGCTTGCAGTGGGAGTACAACATTTTGCCAAGGGGCCCGGGAATATACTCGCGCGTTCCGCGGAGAGTTTTGTTGGGGATGCTGAGAAACAGACTGGAGGTCAACGCTTCGCGCGTAACGCTCCACTCGCTGTAGCTACACCCGGCGGGGGATAACGCGCCCTATCGTATCGTTTCTTTTCGAGATGACCTCTTCCCTGTGCCCCCTTCGCTCCCCTAAGTCCCCTCTCAACCTCTCCACCCAGGCTTTCCACCAATCCAAGAATCCTGGGGTCGCATCCGGTTAGCCGAGAGCTGCGGGAAGCTTTGCCAATGCAGCAGTGTTAACCCACCGGCTCTTGGCTCTGAAGTTGACTCAGATATGCGCACATAGGCGTGTCTAACCGCCGGTTATGGCTTATGGCGCTGCTGAAGCAGCTTCAGGCCGGACCGTGTTGGACAGGGGAGCTATTATTGCTCGACCGATTCCCGAGGTGGTGAGGCGGGAACCCTGAAGCTTCAAAACCCCTCACCCCTCATTCTTTCGTGTGCTGAAGCTGTCTGACACCTTGCCTTGCCGTTCTTCAAGATCCGTTGTTCGTTCAACCTAGGGACTGACGAATACCTGCTGTCCGCTGGCAACTGGATCCTAAGCTTACATCCGAGGCGTTGAGAAAGTCAATTGGTGATTCCAGCCTGCAGACTAACATCCCTTGCCGAGCGCCAAAATCCGCCTTCATCACCAAGGTACTTTCGGACCAGACATCTCAAATCAACAAATATGAAAGCCAACGCAATGGCTGTTGCCAGGACCGCTGCCTTGCGAGGCCTTGGACGAACGCCTCTCTCTTCACAATTCACCCATAAGCAGCTCCCGGTTGTATCCCGAGCATGCATGTCCTCCGTCGCGGAAGCTGTCGGCGTGGCACCCGCTCCCCCGCCTCCTACACCAGTCAACGATGCCGAGCTGAAGGCCGCACAGCGTGCCATTGAGGCCAAGAAGATTCTGCAAAAGGCCGCCAGCGCAACCACTGTTAGACATGACTGGACAAGAGAGGAGATCTCGGCCATCTACTACCAACCCCTGATGGAGTTGGCTTTCCAAGCTGTACGTTTCTCGAGACCATCATCGTCATCTCGTGAATTGCTAACGAAATATCATTCACCAGGGCTCCATCCACCGCCGCTTCCACAACCCTTCCGAAGTCCAGCTCTGCACGCTCATGAACATCAAGACCGGCGGCTGCACCGAGGACTGCTCCTACTGCGCCCAGTCAACCCGATACCAAGATGGCACCGGCCTCAAGGCTAAGAAGGTCGAGAGCGTCGAGTCTGTCCTCGCCGCGGCCCGCACCGCAAAGGAGAACGGTAGCACGCGATTTTGCATGGGCGCCGCATGGCGCGATATGCGCGGCCGCAAGAACAGCTTGAAGAACATCAAGGCCATGGTCACGGGTGTGAGGGCAATGGATATGGAGGTCTGCGTCACCCTCGGCATGATTGACTCGGAACAGGCCAAGGAGCTCAAGGAGGCCGGACTGACTGCCTACAACCACAACGTCGACACCAGCCGCGAGTTCTACCCGTCCGTCATCTCGACTCGCAGCTACGACGAGCGCCTTAAGACCCTGAGCCACGTCCGCGACGCCGGTATCAACGTGTGTTCGGGTGGCATTCTCGGACTCGGAGAGTCATCCGACGACCGCGTTGGTCTGCTGCACACCGTCTCCACGCTCCCTTCCCACCCCGAGAGTTTCCCCGTCAACGCTCTTGTACCGATCAAGGGTACGCCGCTGGGTGACCGCACGCCCATCCAGTTCTCGAGCATGCTGCGGACCATTGCGACCGCCCGCCTTCTTATGCCGGCGACCATTATCCGTATTGCTGCCGGAAGGAAGACCATGTCGGAGGAGAAGCAGGCCATGTGCTTCATGGCTGGAGCCAACGCCATCTTCACAGGTGAAAAGATGTTGACGACGGACTGCAACAGCTGGGACGAGGATAATGCCATGTTTGGCCGCTGGGGTCTGACACCGATGAAGAGCCACCACAAGTCGCCGGCTCCAATGGCCGAGATTGAGATCTGAAGATAAAAGCAACAAGAATAAAGATTTTACACCATCATGGACTTGATGTGGGGGGTTTTGAAACCCGTTTCTCAGGACTCAAGGACCTTTGACGAGATGTCCATACTCTCTAGCTAATTGCTCCATGACTCATTACCCCCTTTCCGTCGTTCGACTCAAAAGCTTCCGTATGCGCGTTCTTCCCACCTAGAACTCGGTCTTGAAGAGTTTCATTTGCCTGATGACCTGACCGTATCTGTAGAATACTAAAGGGATTGGAATCATGACGAAAGCAATGAAGCCGAGGAGTGAGTTTCCCCATCCGAGCCCAAGGCTCTGATACAACCGGTCACCAGCCAGGGGCAAGAATGCGCCCAACAATGACCTGGTGACTGTGCTGGCTGCCATGGCTGATGCAGCGTATGTCGTAAATGCGTCAACCAGATAAGTCGAGATCGACATCTTCAAGATACACACGTCAGTACCGATGACACAGTTGCATAGGTAGGTGCGGGCTCTTACCAGGACTATAACAATCCCGCATCCTAGGATGGCTGTTCCTATGATAGGTAGCATCCATTGAAGCTGTTTATCTGCAGTCCAACCATACCAAAACAGTCCTATGGGGACTAGGATAGCACCCATAAGCATGGGCGGCAGTCGATATTCCGGCTGAAACTGCCCGCCATTTGTGAGTGACAACTTCACCACAAGCCTGTCTGACACTAGACCAGAGAATAGAAGTCCGATCACTGAGCCTACACCGATGCCGATGTACGCCAACCCCGCTGACCCTTGAGAGAATCCGTACTGCTGCTTGAAAACCTGGGGGAAGGTTGTGAAAAGCAGGTAGAGGTAGCCGTAGAGGATGGCCATGTAAACTGAAAGGCAGAAGACAATGGGCGAGAGAAACATCATCTTCGCCGGTCGAAGAATGGAGAACATGAAGAGGTCTTTTGGCTTACGGTGGGTTGCTAGAACAGATTCGAGGTGTGGGTTTCTGGTCTGCAGGCGAAGTCGTCGTGCCTTTCGTTCCAGAAGGGTCAGGGCGTATGATTCGGGCATGCAGAATGCTGTGCCGAGGGCAGCTACTCCAGCCTTCAAAGTCATGTTAGCTGCGATTAAAGAACACAAAGCGGCTATGCCCAAAGTATCAACTCACAGCAACAGACACCACTCGAAAAGACCATCGCCAGCCTATCGTTTCTGATAAATAGCCTCCTGCAATGGGCCCAATGGTTGGGCCCACCATCGGCCCGAGAGTCCAGACCATCATGGCAAGTCCTCTCTTTTCTCTCGGAACTGTGTCTGCCAGCGACGCAGCCCCAAGAGTCAACGGGGTAGATCCGCCTATGCCAGCAAAGATGCGAAACGCAATCATGCTACCCGAGTTGGGTGCCACGGAGCATGCAACGTTGAAAATGAGAAATAGGAGACTACCAGCGTTGTATAGAACATAACGACCGTACATCTCTGAAAGCGGTGCAATGAATAACGGGCCACAACAATAGCCGATCAGAAATCCTGAAATCATGAACGCCCCAACGTATGTGTCTGTGACGTTGAAATCTGACTTGATAGAAGCAATTCCCGGTGCCGCGATCGATGATGCTAGGGGGCTGCAATAACAATTTGTGTCAGTATTGATGCAGTCTTGTTGTGTGATTCTGCTTTCTTAGGTTGAAAAATGAGCCATACCTGAGTGTTGAGATGTACCCAAGCGTCGTGATGAATAGAGCCTTCTTGCACTTTGACCAGTTCATCGGATTTTCTGGATCGTCTGGTCCATCCCAGTCAACCAAGTAAGAATTCACCATTGCAGTATCACTGTCGTCCATGGTGTCACTGTGAACCATGATGGTGCCCTGTCCGGGCGGAATCATCTGTTCGCCCATAGTTGCTTTCATAGACTCATGTGTATCAGACTCACGAACGAATGGGGGAACCTATCCGATTTTCGAAAGAATCGAGATACGACCTGATCTCCCTAGCTGACTTAACATAACGTTACGAATTTGGCTGACGGCGTTCTCGGCTCGTCCTTGAGGCCGGGTTGTGCCGAAGCACATCGTCGGAGTCTCGGACCTTTTAAAGATTTCCGGAGTGACGCCGGCTCTGGAGTGAAGAGCTCGGTTGTGGTGATGTCCGTTCGCCGAATCCCACCCCTTAAGCATATTCGCTTCTTTGATTGCGGGGATAACTCAAGTGCCGTACTCCCCATACTGAGACTCCAATCGGATGATGGATGTTGGAAACTGGTGACTAGTTGTCCGTGCCGTTGCCGCTGTGGATACTAGCGGAACGTTATACCAAGTATAAAATGACTGTCTTGAAAGTCGAGCAGAAGATGCTGGCCATCTTTGATATCAGGCACATTATTGTTCATTATCCAAACCTAAATCACCTTATCCCAACTTCAAAGGTGCCACCATGTCGATCAAGCTTGAGAAGGTCCCTCCCCACCGTTTGTCGGAGCTATGCGATCCTACATCTTTGAAACTTAAGAAGCTGCTGAATCGAAATCACAATGAGCACGCCATTCTTCGCGACCCTCGACTAATCCTACACAACCATATGCCGCATGTGAGTATTCCTTGTGCGTGATGCTCGGCCACTATTCACCCATGTCTCGGTACTTAATCATTGGGGCGGAGGCTGATATAACCACGTCACATATGACAGGCTCTTGGATCGTCTTATCTTCTAGGCGCGACAGACTCCCAGTTACAGCATATTTTCGACGTCGAATCCCCTCATCTGGTCGAATCTGACGACAAACGAATCACGCATGAAGAGGTCACCACATTCAACTGGAGGAAGTTTCTTGGGCAGAAGCCATACACTGCGGCCTATGCCATATTCTTTGACGGTGAAGTTGCGAAATACGGCGGCGACTGGAAAAAGGTTGTAGAAGACTATGTCTGGGCTGGACCTGAACCGATTATCAACGGATTCTCTGGAGGGCGTAAGTCTTCCGTTCTCTAGGCTGTGTCTCATCACGCCCGGTGATACATCTGGTTTTAACTAACTTTTCATCATCGCAGTCGGTCACCCTTTCATTCATCTTGCATACGCATACGAGTTTGATGACGAAAAGGTCGCCACGGAAGCCTTGAGTATGGGTTGCACGGAGTACGATCCGACTCACGAGATTCTGGACAACCCTCCACCAGACACGTCAACTTACAAGACCAAAAGCATCAAGGAAGTTTTGGGTCGTATCCGTGCCGACAAGAGATTCGATGGCTACGTCGATTCCCCGGGGTTCGTGAATCTCTTCACACTCCTCGGCAGATTCAGATCTGAAGTTTTCGAACACTGGCACGCGTGGGTCGTCGAGGATCCAGACTCACAGCTCGGGGACTGCGCCAAGATGGCAGCGGGGCTGTTCATGGAAACGCGCAATAATGAGGAGGGCATGTTCGATTTCTTCGTGGCTCACATTTTGACTTTTGCACATGCTTTACGCATTCTTCTGCCGCTCTGGTCGCATGAGCAGAAGGTTTCGGTGATGAGACAATACGGCCTCTATACGATGATGGTGTACATCGCACAGCTTCGACCGGGCCTCGACTGGGATGAAGAAGGGTTGTCAAAGGGTGGCGAGACACCTGCGTGGGACACAATTTTCAAGAACTCATTGAACAGCAAGTGGATGACTGACGTGCACTTCCCGAAGGTCGTCAGAGGTATGAAGGTGGTCGAAGAGACTTGGGGGGCTTCAGGCGGACTGTATCAACGAGCAGCCGACGTGTTTGTGAATGAGTTTAACGGATGGGGAGGATATGGGGTCGGTGTCGAGGCTGCCTTTGGGCTTACTGGTGTTGCTTAGCTGTGTTTTCCCCCAGGCTCTGCGTCCTTTGGTCGGCAGTTGAGCAAGCAAGTCGTAGCGAGTGGTCAAATAACAATGGGAGTGTGAGCAGTATTGCGGTAGTAAGACTGAGTGTTTCAAGTGAGAGGTGAGTGAGTGAAGTGAAGTGAAGTGAAGTGAGAGAAGTGAGATGAACGATTGAGGAAGAGTGAGATGAGGTAAGCTCAATCAACATGAGGAGGTGCGCCCGTTGAAGTTTAATTTCAAGTGAGCAAGCCCGACTGCCGGACCTTGTCCCTCTCTGTCTCTTAGCATTGCACCGCCCGTCTCGAATAGCGCGAAACAAGGCACATCAATCAACAATGTACGTACTTGGTTTAGGGGACCAGGTGCGTCAACCGCGCAGTCGAGTGCCGTCATCTGACGCTGTCGCTGTCGCTGTCGCTGTCGCTCTCGACGTCCTCTTGGCACATCAACAACGATCACGACCATCCTGTTCCTAATGCATCCTGTGTACATCGACATATTTCCATCGACAACTTCTCCAAGTCTCTAGCAATCCTCGCATGAGTTCCATCAGCGACCTCGAGCGGTGGCTCGCACGCTTCTCGGGTCGCTTGCGTCGCTATTTACCACCTCTAAACTTCATCACCATTCATTATGCCTACTTCATCCTCGTCTGTCTCATCACGTCTATCATCTTCTGGGGCTCATCCGATCCTGCGTTCTCGGTCAGCTACACCGATAGCCTCTTCCTTGTCGTGTCTGCCATGACCGAGGCAGGCCTCAATACCGTCAACCTCAGCCAACTGACGGCCTGGCAACAAACACTCCTGTTTCTCCTACTGCTCTTGGGCAGTACCATTTGGGTCTCCATCTGGACGGTCTTGGCCCGCAAACATGTATTCGAGAAGCGCTTCGATGAAATAGTCCGAGCAGAGCGCGCGCGTAAACTCAGTCGTCAGGGCAGTACCATATCGCTAGGTTTGCCGCGATTACCTCTCGACTTGCCCAGGCTGCAGATGGCATTCTCCTTCGGTAAATCGCAGTCAGCACCGCATCCTGCAGGCCAGTCTCTCAGAGCTACAAAGACTGCCGAGTCGGAGAAGGGCGAAACTCGGGCAGATGACAAACGAGCGGACGATGCAGAAGCCTCGCCCAAAGACCGCCACCGGCCTACACTCGAGGATGCACCTGAGGATGTGCCCGGAAGCACCCAGGCGGTGACGGACTCGCAGGCACCGGGCCACATTACCTTTGACGATGCACCGCACCCCAATGTCGCCGACAACCAAGCCACCTCGACGGGAGTCTCTCTTCTTGGCAACCCGAATGGACCGGCGCGTCCACTGAGAAGGCCCTACAATGCTTCAGTAGATCTGACTACTGCCGACGCGGACGCTCGCAACTTCTTGAAACATCGTGCAGCTAGTCGCCACGGTCAGTTCCATGACCTAAGCAGCGATGAACGCGATCATCTCGGCGGCTGCGAATACCGTGCCCTCAAGGTCCTAGCCATGTTGGTGCCGACCTACTTCTTCCTGTGGCAGGTTCTGGCATCCCTTGCCCTTGGAGCCTGGATGAACAACCACATGCCCGATACGGCAAGGGCTAACGGTATCAATCCGTGGTGGCTCGGTATCTTCAACGCCGTTTCTGCCTTCAATAATTCGGGCATGTCGCTCCTGGACGCCAACATGATTCCTTTCCAACAGGCGCCGTACGTTCTCATCACAATGGGTCTCCTGATACTGGCAGGCAATACCGCGTACCCTCTCTTCCTTCGTCTCATCATCTGGTCCTCTCTCCGCATCTTGAACCTGACCACGCGAGAAGACGCTTTTACCGACCTAAAAGAAACCCTAGCGTTTATTTTGAAATACCCTCGCCGAGTTTACACCAATCTCTTCCCTTCTCGACCCTCTTGGTGGCTTTTATTTATGTTGATTTCACTTAACTCTGTGGACTGGGTGGCCTTTGAGGTTCTCAACATTGGGAATTCTGTCATCGAGAAGATACCCACAGGCTACCGGGTGCTCAATGGTCTCTTTCAAGCACTTGGTAAGCCTTCAAATCGTTCTTCCTTTGGATCATCACCATGTCAAGCAGGAGGAGGCTAATATACCGGTTAGCTGTGCGGTCCGGAGGTTTCTACGTTGTCCCTATCTCAGGCCTCTTCATCGGCTTACAGCTACTCTACGTTATAATGATGTACATCTCGGTCTACCCCGTCGTCATCACCATGCGCCATTCCAACATTTACGAGGAGCGATCACTCGGCATATACAGTGACGACATAGGCACCGCATCCGAGATCGACCCTGAGGTGGCCGATCCCTTGCTCCCTATAGGCAGTCGACCTCCGACACTGGCACGCACTACTAGCATTGGCGCGGCTTCTGCCCGACCTTCTGTCTTGGCACGTCGACTGAGCCGTTCGGGCCCGGTCATCGAAGCTCGTCGCGCGTTCAAGAGCACCTTCATGAGCTTTCACGGTGTTGGTGTTGTGCCACCGAAAGGACCGGGACTTGGGCAGAGCGCCGCCGAGCAGGGCGAGAGTCGCGTCAGTTTCATCAGCCACCAGATTCGCGGACAGCTTGCCCATGATCTTTGGTGGTTGGTTCTCGCTGTTTTGATCATCACCATCATCGAGACGTCAAAATTCATCCAAGATCCCGTGACGTTTTCGGTCTTTAACATCATATTCGAGGTCGTCTCAGCATACGGTACGGTCGGAATATCAGTCGGCATACCAACTGACGCGTACAGCTTCTGCGGCGCCTGGCACGTCGGAAGCAAGCTCGTTCTGTGCCTGGTGATGTTACGTGGCAGGCATCGAGGGCTGCCAGTTGCGCTGGACCACGCGGTGCGACTTCCAGGACGGCAGCTCCATCGGTATGAAGAGGAGGACCATCAGATACGGAGGAGCAGGACAATCGAGCTGGAACGGTAGAATTACATGTAGATTGCCTCAAGGCACGGTTATTAGACATGTTGGAAAGAATCATTCCATTGCTAATAGCTGAAAGATTGATGCTGTCTACACGTAAAAGTGCTCTGATTGGGATCTATAATGTTAACGCTAGGTGAAGATGCAGTATAAAATGACAGACTGATCAGGAATACGAAAACTCGCTTCAAGTAATGCAACCACCGAAGAACATACGATGCGATGATTCAAACATAGACCGAATGCGCCAACCACTCTAACGCACTGGGTGAGATGCGATGTAATGCAATGCGATGATAGGGAACAAGAGACGTGAACACCAAATAAATAGAAAAAGCAAAGTGGCAGAGATTGAGAGGAAAGATATTTTAACGTCATCTCGAAGTTGCCACGGTGATTTGAAGTTTGGCCTATTCTATCATGCGGGCAAAGAAACGCTGCGAGGGAAGAGTCGGTCGTACGTCGATTTTCCGAGCTTGGCGATGGGCACGCTTATACCGTGAATCACCTACACAACGTCAGTATATCGACTCCAAAAAGATATTCAGCTGTCGAGAACTCTCGAAAAGTAGTGTCACTCACAATGCTGCAGATGATCAAGAACCAGATGGTGACAAGCATGGTTTCGCCCAGCTGCTTCGCGTCCGCTCGCTGGCCCTCGTCATCCGTCAGAGTCTCCAGGAACTCGAGGCCGACGTAAAGATAAAAGATGGCAGAAACACCAATGGGACCAAAGTACCCAACAAAGAGCGCCTGTCGTGAACCCCGGATCTGGCGGATGTACCGGTGCAAGCCGAGTATGACGGGAAGACGTCTCAGCAGCAAGACAAGAATACCGAGTGCGACCAAACGACCGGGACTAATCAGCTCAGAGTTCCAGAAGCTCTCCCACGGACACACAGCTCCCAGCCACATGAAGATGGCCATGTTGAGCATCATGTCGACGGCGGGCTGCACGGGATCCTCGACCGTCTCCAGACGGAACCAGTCGTTCCAGGTGAAGACGTTGCCCGCGATGAAGCAAGCTAGTACGTCGTCGCTGCCGACCATACCGCACGTGCCGAGGATGAAGATGGCCATGCCGATGGGGAAGAGGAGAAAGCATTCCCGCTCCACGTACTTGCGTCGCTCGGCCCAGTGGAGCAATCTCTGCGCGAGCAAGCCGACGACCCAGCCATAGAAGACGCTCATGAGCACGACGTAGACACACGTCTGGCCGAAGAAGAGGCTCAGCGCGGCACCGAAACCGCCCTCGCTCGAGGCTGGGTTACCGTCGCTCTCGGTGTACTTGATGAGGTAGAGCGCGAGGAAGAGAAAGGGGTAACCAAGGCCATCATTCGCTCCCGACTCGGCAACGATGATCTGCTGCAGGTCCTCGGGGACGTTCTCCTCGGCAAACCGGCCCTTGACAATCGTGGTGGAGAGAACCGGGTCGGTCGGGGTGATGCAGGCCGCGATGGCGAGAGCGTGGACGAGGGGCAGGCCCGGGACGAGGAGCCAGACGATGGCACTGGTGCAGGTCCACATGCCGATCATGCCGGGGCCGAGGAGGAGGCAGAGGGACTTCCACTCTGTGCGAAGGTAGCGGCTCGGCAGCTGGACGCCGGCGAGAACGAGCTGAACGCCGAGGACCAGGCGGCTGAAGTCGAGGGTCACGGAGGCGACGGCATCTTCGGAGACGGCGTATTCGCCGGGCTTGAGGAGCTTGGCGACATGGGTGAAGGTTACGCCTCCGAGGAGGGAGACGACTTTTAGCAGTAGGGTTGGTTAGCCAGTGCGATTTGCCTTGTTGCAGCTGTGCCTAAACAGAGGCAGAAGAAGCAGAAGAAGAAAGAACCACAGGTAAGGGGAAGCTATGGTTCACTTACGGGCTTCAGAGAGATACAGGTTCTCTTTGATGAGATACGAAAAGGTGCCGAATAAGACGAGCCATCCGCCGAGCACGCTAATCACCACGTTGAAATTCGTGATTGAAAGGTCCATGATGCCGCTCAATGTGCTGCAAGCAAGCAGCCCCGACTGGATGCCTCGCCTTTGGGTCTCGACGCCTTGGGGTGAAGAAGGGGTTGAG